ATGCCTGGAAGAGCTCTGGCTTTGAGGAAATGTTTAATTTGTCACCAGCACTGCCTGCGTGTGTCCTACTCATTTCCCTTCTTCGAGGACAGAGAGAAGCAGCCAGCTGTGTGGCAGGTGGGCAGCAGGAATCTGATAGCTTGTGCAGGGGGGCACGAGATGAATGACAGTAGCAGAGGTCCGAGTCTGGTCTGGATCTGTTGGTATAAAGTAGGGACTGAAGTCATGGTAAAGACTGCTGATAGTACAGGCTTGGCAGTCAGAATCCACAGTGGACACTGGCAGAGGTGCTCTAGCTGCAGCAAAGCTCAGTTCTTCCTGAAGGCTTGGAGTTGTCACCTCTCTTGATGCAGCTACAGATACTACTGTTCTCCTCTGCCCAGAGCAGCGGGCACCAATGCCCTGGTACAGTGGTTCTCCATACTGGAGCATTGGGACTCAGTGGATCTGTGATGAGACCCCAGTGTTGCTTTTGGAAATCCTCAAGACTGGACTCGGATGCACAGCTAGTGCAGATGGTTTGTAGTCTCTTTACCTCGGGGCTTCCCAACGTGTAGCCGGCCCACTCTGGGTCCTGCTCAGGACAGACTCAGGAGGTCCAGGACAGGCTGCAACGCTGTGTGTGCCGGCCTCCAGGCCACACTAGAGTGATTTATGCTTGTTAGTCTCAGTGCCCAGCACTGGCCTGCACCAGTCCATGACGGGAAGTTATGTGTTTGTGGCCAGGCCCTGCTCTCTGAAGGAATTTACGTAGTGGTCCAGAAAGCGCTTGGGTTAAGTGACCTGCTTTCCATGGCCAGCTCTGCCACTCATTAGCTGATCAAGTTGTTTAGAGGTGCTTCAGTCCCTCCCGGGCTCTGCTATAAGGAACCACAGAGCCGAGCCGGGTAAACTGTGCTCGAAGCATCCCCAGCCAGGGACTCTGTCCTCTCTGGAGCAAGCAACAGTGGCATGGAATGGCAGCCTGCACTCTGTCACCAAGACCTGCTTCCTTAGGGGCTGGGCTGAGCCTATGATCTGCTGCAGGAAATAAAACTGACAAGTTGCAAAGAATTTAAGAAAGACCCAGATTGCAAACTGAAGAAGAATGCAGAGAAGCTATCGGGGTCTTGATTGGAGCAATAAAGGGGGACTTCGTAGCCAGGGATATGAGTTGATGCTATTTTCAGGGCCAGATGGGCTGGAGAGTTGGGCAACAGCTCTCAGGCTTTCACACTTGTTTGTTTCTGAAACAGCATCCATCCACAGTGAAGAACAAAGCCTACTTTTCTGCCTTAAATTAAAACAATGGAGGAGAAAATGTCTTATGTGGAAGTCAGTGTTTGACGGGAAAAATGCTAAAAGCCCTCCTCCTTTCTTAGCAATCTTTCCTTATTTCATTTTCCTTTTTTTCCTCTATTTTGCCTCATGAGAATTCTCGTGAGGCATGTGCTCATGGCCTGTGCTCTACCCCTGGCCACGCCCCCCAGCCCTCTCCTTTATCTATACTTATTTTTTCTTTTTTTTGGTACTGGGGATCAATCTCATGACCTTGCGCTTGCCAGGCAGGTGCTTATGCCACTGAGCTAAATCCCTGGCCTTATACTTATTTTTTTCAAGGCTATTTCTGAGTGTTAAAAGATTGACCCTGAATAGGGACATTTCTCTATCAGTGTAGGCTGAGTCAAAAACTGTGCACACCCTATGGATAATAATAAATAGTATTTGACATCACCTAAAATTTATATATATATATATATATATATATATATATATATATATATGTAATATTGAAAATGACATAGCTCTTCATCTTAACTCATTGGAAAAGAGACTGATAATTTATTTAGATCTATAATATAGGTGTTCAGGAATTTTTAATATACTTCTTTTGGTCAAAAGGAATGTATTTTGCATTGTAACTCGAGCTTTACTAAATTGTATGTATGTTCCCTTACAAAGAGGTTGTATGATCATTGCTCAGGTATAGAAAAATACAAAAGAGAACACTTACTCTCCTCTCATGAGTTATATTTAGCACACACAATTTGGCTATAACTGTTCTCTGAATATCATAAGAGTTTTGATTTTTTTTTTCTCTATGCCTACATTATTTTTAAAATTGCAGACTGCCAATGCGGTTTCTCACAAACACATACCATTATACTTCTGTTGTTGGTAAATCTTTTACATAATCAGCTATTGGTTATCTGTCATAATGCAAATGACAATACAATACAGTAGAAATGTTCTATTTTTAAATCATTAAGCAATATATGTCATTTAATAGCAAGGTTATTTTGGTTGTTAGTGACAGAAAACTGAACTCATTGAATGACAGAGAACTGAAACTGAAAAGCTGGGAGCTAGTACAGGCTTTGGCTATAGTGATTGCAACAGTCAGGTTTTCATTTCTGGGACACAGTACGTAACACTCACAAGTTAAAGAAGGAGAAGTGCAATTTGCCTCGTAGTTTTAGGGGGCTCAGTCTGTGGTCAGCTGCTCCAAGGCAGGAGCATCATGGTGGAAGGGTGTGGCAGAGCAGAGGTACTCTGTTTATGAGGACCAGGAGACAGAGCAGGGGACAGCAGCAGAGAGGAAGGGGCAGGGAGCAGACCCAGACCCCAAGGCCACGCCTCTGTGACCTACCCAGACACACAGAGGAGCATGTTTCACCAGTCCCTGAGTGGGTCCCAAAGTCAGTCAGGTCCACCTACCACCTGCCCACTACAGGGATATAAAGTACAGTCAGGCTGCTCCCTGCATACCATAGCCTTGTGATCCTTTAATGACTTCTGGCTTCATTTAATTATGTAATGGCTGCTAGGATTTGTAAAATCTTTCTTGTTCAGTGCAGTGGAGAAAGAGAAAAGCCCTTTTACTTTACTCCTTTGGCCAATCCTGAAATGCTCCACAGTGGCTTCAGTAGGAGATCAGTCACCCTCCTGAGTCTCTGAGGCCAGTGACACTGAGGTCTTGATTGGGATTGACTAGATTTATGTGGGGGTGTCCTGGAGCCAGGAGGCTGTGCAGCACTGAGCAGGAGGAGAACAAGTCCTTGGGGGTAACTGGCTGCTTATGCAAAGAAGAGGGTGAAGGTTGGTGTAGCTGCCAGCAGCAGTGCCAGTGAACATAGCCATCACTATGTGTCTTTCCCCACAGAAGCCAATACTGAGTTTACACTGGCTCAGTACAGGATTTCAGTGGCAGAGAGGCCTTAGTGGGGAGCTTTCAGGTTGGATGACACAGGGCTGAAGTTGGAGACAAAATGAGTACCTTAATGAAAAAATTAAAAACAATTGTGTTGGCTGTCTGACAGTTTACCTTAAATGAAGAATCATATTCAAAATTTCAGTCATGGTGGTACGTGCCTATAATCCCAGCTGCTCAGGAAGCTGAGGCAGAAGGATCTCAAGTTTCAGCCCAGCCCGAGCAACTTAGCATGATCCTGTCTTAAATATTTTTTGAAGTGGTCAGCTCATAACAGAGCACTTACCTACCATGTAAAGCTCTGGGTTCCATCCTCATTATGGCTAAAAGTAAAAGTAAAACATATTTAAGATATCTTAAGATATCTATTTAAGATATTTAACAACCTGTGGCAAAGAGATATTTAACAACCTGTTTCAGAGAGATAACTAATCAGAATGAGTTGAGTCCAGCAGGTCAGAACTGCTACTGATTGCAGCAGAGGCTCCTAGAGGGTTCTGGTGGGAGGGGTTGGTAAGGTGCTACTGTGCTTTCCAAACATGTCCCTACTCTGTTAGTTTCTGGGGGATCCATGGTAGAGTACCGTGCCCTGGAAGAGTTACAGTAGTGGAAATGTGTTCTCTCATGGTTAGAAGCACAGAATGAAGGTGTCAGCAGGCTCTAGGGAAGAGCTCCCTCACCAACCCTCTCTCCGCTCCCCAGGGTCGTCAGCAGTCCCTGGCATTCCTTGGCTTGTAGCTGCACCACCTCAACCCCCATTCTCACTTGGCTTTTTCTTCCATGGGCCCTCCATGTTTCAGTATTCAGATTTCTCTCTTCTTGTTAAAAAGATGAACAACTTCCTGCTTAATGTTTATTATTTTAATTCTGTTAAAATAGGAATGTTTGGGTAACAGTTTGGTGAAGAATTAATATTCCCCCATATGTGACTCTGTGCATGGAAAAGTATTACTCTCTTGCATGAGAGTTTATTGAATTCAGACAAATTTTGCCTTAAAAACGGAGCTGGTTACAATTAGACATCGTGCATTAGTGTATTTAATAGCAATGCAAGAAAAGTAGGAGAGAAATATAACTGGTGAAGGGTTGGAAAGCCACTTCTTTCAAGGAATATGTGAAAACAGTGGTAATGATCTTGAGCTCTTTGAAGCACCGTTCTGTGGAAAAGGGATTAGACGCTGGTGAGCAGAACTGGAAGCAAGAAGCTAACATTAAGGGCAGTACTGGATGCAACCTAAGCCAGAACTATCTCAGTGTGGGCAGGCGTGGAGGCGGCTAAGCGTGGGAGGGAGGAAGAAGGGCAGGTTGCTGGACATGCTTGATTACCTCCTGCCATTTCCTAGAGATCCCACCTTGACCAGAACATGGGAACAGGGGCCCCTCCTGGCTTCCGGAGTTGTTACAAATCCCCCTGAAACCTCTCTCCCTGCATAACCCATGAACATCAATATTATCGGTGTAGCAAGGTGCTGCTACATATGTAAATGCTTTTTAAAGCTGGCAACTCAAAGTCTGTCTAACCTTGGTGCTACAGACTGACAGGACAAAGAAATCCAGGGGGTGGGAGGAGGTTAATTCAGGAGAAGAGGGACATTGGCAGGTGCGGAAGGCAGGGGAGGGCACTGGTGTCTGTTGGGTGTGCATTGTGCGGGCGTCTTGGGCTGGTCTCTCTCTGTACATTTAATAAGGGCGTAGGCCTCTCATTTGATACTCTGGTGGCCTGGAAACTTCAAGAAGCTGTGGTTCCGAGAGTGCTGAGTTCCCAAGCTAATTGGAGTTTTCTTATGTATCCTTTGGTGGTGGAACCCAGGACTGTTCTGATGGCTACATGTGCAAGACACACTTCCGAGCAACCGCAGCGGCCCATCCCAGCATGTCCCCCGAGGGGCAGACCTGGCTTCCCGTGGAGGTGAGTAGTCCAGCACATGCCGGCCCTGTAAGTGCTTAGATGTGTGTCTGCTTTTAAAGACTAACGCTAATGACCCTGGGATAGTTTTTGTGGAGAAGTGGACGTTTGTAAAGAGCGATATTTTTCTATAATACTGAAAGCAGGAGTTGTGTGGTCCACTCCAAGTCTACTTAACCATATTAAACCTTTGCGTTTCTGGCTTCAGACGACAGACACCTTCTCCTGCCTCCTAACTGTCCTCTAATGAAATCCTCCCCGTGGAATACAGACCTCTGTCTCAGCTGCTGAATGTTTGGCTGGAGACCTTTTTGTCCAGTCTGCCTTTACCGATTTTCCTTAGCCATGGATCTGGGTCGCATTCCTTAGGGGATTTTAATGCTCACTGAGAAACTTAAGACTCAATTCTATTCAGGTGGTAACAGCTTAGTGGTTTTCCTGTTATCAAAATGCAAGTAGTATTATTATATTTCTTATATGAATGGAAATATACATATCCACTATAAAAAATAAAGTGATGTGTAAGAAGGGTAAAAAAATCACCTTTTATATACCCCTCAATACATACATTATTAGTATTTTGGAAAATGTTCTTCTACGCATTTTATTTTGGTTTTTGAAGCAGGGTGTTACCATGTAATCTACACTGGCCTCAAACTCATGATCCTCCTGCCTGTTTCCCAGGTGCTGAGATGACAGGCGTGTGTCAATGTGCCAGGCTTTTCCTCATGTTTCTGTTACACATGGCCACTGTTTTTTGCAGTGAGCAAGTATATCATAGTTGTGTCACCAAGCTGATAAATGCAGAATTTCATTATTCTCTTTCATGTCTTTGTAATATTCTGTCCTAGAGTGCACTGTAGTTATGTGGGGCTCATACTTCAGAAAACACTGGAGTTTTGAAAGTCAGTTGGTGGGAACTTCATTGTTTCAGCGCAAAGGCAGGCATCACTAATGCCTGGATTCTGGGCAGCAAATGGACAAGCGATAGTTTTGTGTAGAAGTCTTTCTCTAGCTGTCTTCAGTCAGGTCCATTTGCAGTCAAGCATTAGCCCCTTCCCTGTGTCTGATGCTGGCCTGGAGGCGTCTTCTCCAGTAGGGTTTGATCTGCAGGCTGACCTAGAGGGTGCTGCACTTGGAAGGAAACTGAGTGTCCCAGGGTGGGTTGGATCTTACTTGGTGCTTCATGGTTGAAACAGCCAGCATCAGCATCAAATCTGAAACTAAGCCTGTTAGGAAACCTTTGTTTTCGCTATATATTAACATTAAAGCACTTAAAATTAACAAAGAAACGATGACTAAGAAGGTGAATTGCTAGTTTTTGTTTAACAAGTTGGCAGAGATTTTAAAAGCACTAGAAATTGATGTCGACAGTGTGAAGGATCTGATACTTACAGAGTTTGAAATTGTGCATGGGATATCAGTGACCTAGTCAGTCGTATGCTAGGAATCCAGTCTCATAAAATAGAAATTTTCCCAACATTTTTTTTGTTTCCAAATTTTTTGAATGAATTCCAACCTATGGAAGAGTCGAGAGATTTTTTTGTTGGTGCAGGGGATGTGCATCTAGAGTCCACTACCATCTGTACTCAGCTGAGCTTGCTTTGTGTATCCTTCTGTCTGTCCATACATAGTTTTTGATGCAACATTTTTACCTCAAGGTAGATTGCAGACACATACTGTAAACTAATGAGAGATGTGCCCAGAGTTTTGCCTGTGAGTACATCAATTGACCAGTGTGATAGGAAAAACAGCAGCACCTGTGATGTGTGTCAGTCCCATGTCTCTCCAGTACGGCCTCGTCCCTCACTTACAGTGGCCTTCTAGGTGGCTGATGTCATGCTCTTACTGTATTTTTTAAAAGGCATGCTTCTTTCTTAGGCTAACAACCCCACAGAGGTAAGGTGGCTCGGTAAGTATCCAAGATCCAGTAAATCCCAGTGGCCCTCAGAGCTGACTCACCTCCTGTGTTGGTAGCAGCTGGTTTAGCAGCTGAGCTACTTAGAACTGATTGAATTCTAGAAGAGTTTTGTTCCCACTTTTCCTCCAGGAATTAGTACGGGAGAATTAAGGACATATGAGGAGAGTAGAGGGCTTTGAGCGGTTTGTGTTTGGAAGTGTCACCTGGAGTGGGATCTGCTCAGGAGCCCTGGTCTTCAGTCAGCGCAGCGTGCGCTCTGTGACTGTGTGGCCACCGCTCATACAGCTTTGCAGTTCTGCTGAGCAGTTCTCTTGGCTCTCTCTGAGCTACAGGCAGCTCAGCCGTAACTGTGACTTCTCATCCCGAGAGTTCCCCGTGATGCCTGCATGTGCTTGAGTGGCTTGGATAAAATAAGCGTGAAGTACTATTTTATTTTAATATTTCATAAAAATTATTTAAGTTTCCTGGTACTTTTGCTTTCGATCAAACTTTATTGGCACAGTTTAGATATACATAATGATCACATTTGTTATAGAGAATTTGTTTCTGTACATGATGGATCTGGATTCTTCTTTTTTCCCCTTTCTCTTCCTTCCCTTCAACCCCCTTCCCCCTTCTTATTTACAAAAGCTTTTTTCCATTTTTTCCTCCTTTTCTCATTTTTTTCTTTGCTCTTCCTTCTTTTTCACACTCTCTCCCTTTTTCACACTCCTTTCCCTTTCCAATATTTTCTCCCTATTTCACAAGATCTGTTATGTATTTTGGTTCATATTTACACTTTCGAGTTCTTAAACTAGAGAAACACTGTGATATTTACTGTATGTCCAATTTATTTCACTTAGGAGTGTGGTCTAAAAGTGCATCCATTTACCTAGAAATGTCTCAAATTCATTCTTCTTTAAGGCTGAGTAGTGCTCCCTTGTACAGAAAACCCACTTCTTTTTTATCCATTTATCAGTCGACGGGCATTTGGGCTATTTCTAAGATTTTACTGCCACTAATTGTGCTGCTATAAACATGGGTGTGCATATGTTGTGATAGGATGTTTTTAATTCTTTAGGGAAGATGCCAGGAAGGGCAATAGCTGGGTCAACTGGAACCTGTAGTTTTAATTTTTTGAGGAATCTCCACACTGATTTCTATAGCTGTTGTACCAGTCTGTACTCCTGCCAACAGTAGACCAAGGGTTCCCTTTTCACCACAGCCCAGCCAGGGATTTGTTATTGGTTGATGTATTAATGGTGGCTGTTCTTTCTGGAGTGAGATGGAATCTCAGCATTGTTTTAAATTTGCTTTTTAAAAAAATTTTATTTAAAGGAAAAAGAGAAAAAACAAAACAAAACAAAGCAGTGTAAGGGTACAATTAATACAGAACTACAAAAAAAAAACCAGTAAGAAATCACCAGTTAATAGATTATAATTATCATCCTAGAGACAGTTGCTCAAGTCACAGTGTCAAAGCATACAAAGTGGACATTCAAACAGTGAGACTGCAAACAGTTGTGTTCAATGATCCAACCAAGAACATTAATATGGTCATCTATTTAACACCCCTAAACACACTTGTAGTTGTATACTTTAGAGCACTTTTTTTTCCCTCTCTTTTTTACAACAAAATTTATACATTTTGGGTTTTATTACTCCTTAGTTCTTACTACTTTTTTTTGGAAGAGAATAAAATCAAATATGGCAAAACAAAGCTGTCAGTCAAAACCAAGGTAGACATAGCACATGATGTAAAAATAGAGTACAAGGTTATCGACAATGGTTACCATAATGCCTCTTGCTTCCTTCAAAAGAATGTCTATCTCATTAGGTATTATAAAGTTGAACAAAACAGTAGAGAACAAGACCAATAAAACCTACTTTTCAAATGACCAGTGCTATGGAACGTTTTTCATATATGTATTTATCTGCCATTTGTGCTTCTTCATCTGAGGAGTGTGTATTCATCTCAGATACCCATTTTGGGATTTAAATTTGGGAGGTCTGATCTTTTTCAGTTCTTTATATAGCCAAGATATTAGTCCTTTTCTGAGCAACAACTGGCTAAATTTTTTCCCAGTCGGAGTTGTCTTTTCATTCTGTTGGTGATTTCTTTTGCAGTGCAAAAGTTTTTTAATAAGATGAGGAGCCAGTTGCTGATTCTTTGTAGTATTTCCCATGCAAACAAGGTTTTGTTCATGAACTCTTTGCCTATACCTGTTTCTTCAAGGGTCCTATGTACTTTCTCTTCTAGCAGATTTAGTGCTTTAGTTTTAATATTTAGATCTTTGATCCATTTTGATTTTAGTTTGGTGCATGGTGATAGACATGAATCTAGTTTTAATCTTTGGCATGTGGAAAGCCAGTTTTCCCATTTATTAAAGAGACTGTCTTTCTTCCAGTGAAAGTTTTGGGCCCTTGTACAGTTTTCATTTTAGTAGTATGTGTTTCCATTTCATAATGATCACCTGTGTCCTGAGTAGTCAGTACATGCACACAACACATCTTAATTCCTTTGGTGCCCCGTTCTCCTTAACCCATCCCCCCTCTCTCTGTCTCTAGGTCCTCTTCCTACTTATAAAAGGCCTTCCTGTTGCCTATTATCTAGATTTCAGTTTCCTCCTCAATTTTTATACTTTGGATTTCTCATATAAGAAAAACCATGTAACATTTAAGCTCACGTCTGATTTATTTCACTATCATTATGATATCAAGGAGAACTCATTTTCCTACAGGTGTATGCTATTAATAATGGTAATAAAGTATCTCATAATTATGCAACTAAAGGCAAATTTTGAGTGGGGAAACAGGAAGTAGAGACTGGAAGGAAGCAGTCCTCCCTTCCTTCCACCGTGTGCCCTGCTCTTGCCTTTAGAGGCTGGGAATAACCTCAGGTTGGAAGATGACTGTTCTGTCTGCCACAGCAACCTTGTGTCCCAGAGTGGTGCAGAGATGGCTGAGAATGTGTCTCAGGGCCTAGCAATGCTGTGCTGATTGGGACACCAGTGAATTTCCCTGTAACTGTACACATGACTCTCACTTGCCTGGATCACTACCAGGCAGAGGCATATTCTAACGTCCTTTCTTTCTTCATCAT